CTTTTTTATGTTTTTTTTTTGTTTTATTTTTCTGTTTTTATTTTTGGTTTTTATTGTTTTGATTTTTCTTTTTTTCTTTTTTCTGTTTTTTATTTTTCTGTTTTTATTTTTGGTTTTTATTGTTTTGATTTTTCTTTTTTTTCTTTTTTCTGTTTTTTATTTTTCTGTTTTTATTTTTCAGTTCTGATTTTTTTGCTGATTTTTTGCTCTTTTTTTCTTTTGTTTTTTTTTTCTTTGCTCAGTTTTCTCCTTCATTTTTTGCTCTGATTTCTTTTCTCTCCGTTTTTTTCTTCTTTATTTATTTTCAGTTTTTTTTCCGCTCTGATTTTTCTGCTCGCTCTCTCTGCTCACTGACTCCTCTAACGTTTCTGCTTCTGCACTTTGACAAGCAGCTTTTGAGGTTCAGTGCTAATCTCTGCAGGTATGTCAGCTGTCTTTAAACGCCGTGAAGTCACATGATCTATTGAAAGGTGGTTTTAACAGATCCTGTTTTCATTTCATCTGACTCCGTCTCTCATCCTGTTCCTCCGTGTTTTAACTCTGAGTTGATTTTGACACGACATGTTTCTCAGCGCTTCAGCCATCTTTCTTCGTCTCTGTTTAATGATCAGTCGCTCGCTTTGCTCGCTGTCAGGCGGCGTTGAGGGACGTGAACCAGATTTCGGGCCGTTAGCAGCTCCATAATTCAGCTCCTTGTCTTCCTGCAGACTTCTCCATCAGAAGTAAGAAGCAGTGTGTGCAGTACCTGCCGTCGGAGAAGATGTGTGACAGCCCCGCCTCCTCTCACGGCAGCATGCTGGACTCCCCCGCCACGCCCTCTGCAGCCCTGGCTTCCCCCGCCGCTCCCGCCGCCACCCACTCGGAGCAGGCGCAGCCGCTGTCGCTCACCACCAAACCGGAGGGCCGACTGCATCACCATTTCTCCCTCCCAGGGAAATCTTCCTCCTCCTCCTCCTCCTCCTCCTCCTCCCAGCCCACCATCTCCGTCTCCATCGGTACTTCAGGGAGTCAGTCCAGCACCCCCATCCTCTCCCGGCCCATCCCCTTCACCTCCCTGCACCCCTCCATGCTCTCCCCCCCCTCACCCTTCCATCAGGCGGCGTTGCACTCCCATCATGCTTTGTTCCAGTCGCAGCCGCTCTCCCTGGTCACCAAACCGACCGAATGAGTCTCTCTCTCTCTCTCTCTCCGTTATCAGGCTGTACATTTGCTTTTCCTCAAATAGTCATTAGAACATTTTTTTATTTTCTGAATATTGAAAAGGAAGAAATATTATTGGTCAATATTTGACCTCCTCCTCCTCCTCCTCCTCCTCCTTTTCTCCTCAATGAAAAAACAACAAAAATGTATTTTTTGTAAAGTTGCTGCAGAACTGGTTTCTTTTTTTTGACGCATTTATCCGACGAACCTCTTGTATAAAAGAAGAACCGTGTAAATAAAGTTTCTTTAAAAAAGTGAAAAAGGAACAAAAACACCTTTTAGCCAAACTGATTAATGTTAGTCTGACGAAGATGAAGATGAAGATGATGATGATGATGAAGATGATGAAGAAGAAGTCCTAGTGCTGGCTAATAACTCGGGTCAGGAGAGAGTGTGTGTGTCGACGTGTGTTGACATGTAAAATAAAGATCTGTTTCTTACAGCACGGTCTCCGTCTGTTTCATAAAACAGGAATTATTCTCAGCCAGCGGCTCCTGCTGATGGCGGCGGCGGCGGGTTTGATGATTGATGGCGTAGAATGAGGCAAAGTGGCGAGGACGGTCTGATCCAGACTAACTCCAGAAGAATCCTGACGTCTAACAGAAATAATCGACATCTGCAGCGTCCCACAACAATGACAGAAAGCAGGTCATCCTCGCCAAGCCCCGCTCACTCGTTCCTGCATCTTTATTCAGCGTTTGGCACGCGGCGTGGGCTTTAATTAGCTCAGAGGTAACGACGCGGCGCCCCCGGGACCTCATTAGGCTTTTCAATTAGTGAAATACACAAGGTAGCTCTCAGTTTTTGGTGGCGTTGAGACAAGAAGCCGTGCCAAGGATGGACCAATTATGTCAGGGCAGGGGAGCGAGGGGTGTGGCCTCGAAGAGCCAAATGTGCCCCCCCCCCCCCCTCCCTGCTGCACAGTTATAGAGTCATCACACTCCAGGAAATAGACAGGACCATCAGAGTGACGGTCGTTTTTATCAGACGTGAACGTTTGGTGACCGCTGCCGACGTTTCTGGTCATGTGACACTTTCAGATCCTCAGGTGATCAGGTGGTCGCTGTAGTTTTACGATAAAGAGAGTCTCATCGAAGCTGAAAAACCTTCAGTTTAGGTTTGAGTTAGTTTCTCAGGTTATAATCTGGATTAATAATCTCTGAGTTATCTTCTCCTCTTCCGCTCTGAATGTCGGACACCTGTTCATAACCAACCTGCTCGCCGCCGCCGCTGCGCTCAACATCTGCCATGTAAGCACCAGGTCAGATTTAATTCATGTTAATTTCTGCTCATTAAATTCCTCCAATCTCCTGCCAAGCCTCTTTTTTTTTCAGCTTCCTTTGATCGTGAATCTCTGCGGGTTAACCCTTCAGGTGGTCTCAGACGCAGTCAGAGGGTCGGCGTGACGGAGAGAGAGACGATTTTACTGAAGACTAAAATCAGCTCAGGACGAGTGTGTGTGTGTGTGTGTGTGTGTGTGTGTGTGTGTGTGTGTGTGTGTGTGTGTCTCCATCGACTCGTGACCTTATGTCCCGTTAATAACAGGAAGCAGAGGTTGCTCCTCGTGGTTTCCCAAAGCGAGCTGAATTGATTCGCTCTGTAACATTCAGCATCTCTCAGCTGGAGTCGGAGTGTGGATGAATCTCAACGACCTCGTTAATCTATTATTCAAACCTTCGACCTTAAAGACGGAAACGTAAATAAGAGCGAAGAATGAGAGCGATCATCGGACTCTGCAAATGTCAGGCAGCTCGCCACAGTTAACATGAACTTCATTAGAGGACGCCACAGGTGTCGGCACCCTGCTGAGATGTAAAAACAGACCAGATCATCGTTTTCATGATGAAGCTGCTGCTCATCGGCAGATCTACGTCTACACAGATCTATGTCTACGCAGATCTACGTCTACGCAGATCTACGTCTGTAAACCATATCAGAGTTGATGAACTTCACACCTAAACTGACCAATCACAGAGACTCATGAAAAACCTGTCACATTGAAACAGCACTAAAAGATCAATACTGCCACCTGCTGGTCAAAGCTGATACAATACACTGAGAGAAAATCCTGTCATTTCAGCTCCTGACCTCCAGGGGGCAGCAGTGTTAACACACACGTGTGACTGTGTGTTTGAGGTCATTTTGACAGGAAGTGAATCTCATTTATTTGAAATCAGATTCTCATGTTTTTACTGATCAGGATAAAAACGCTGCAGATGTTCATCCTCTCATCTCTGATCCTCATTCAGCTGCAGGAAAAAAACTAAAACGTTTATTCTCAACACAACAGACGCCGGACACTTTAGTGTGTGTGTGTGTGTGTGTGTGTGTGTGTGTGTGTGTGTGTGTGTGTGTGTTACATGTAGAAGTTTTTAAGATTAAATTTTTTTTTAAAACTTTATTAGTGATGCACCAATCCGATATTTGGATCAGATATCGACTCTGATATTGGCAAATTAACTGGATCGGATATCTGATAATTATAATAATACATTTTATTTGAAGCGCCTTTCCCGTCACTCAAGGAGACTTTACAGAACATATAAAACAATAATAAAACACTATTAACAATTAAAATCATCAAACAGTTAAAATCAACAAAGCAACATTAAAACATGAACAACAGCAAAGGAATAAATAAAGAAATGAATAATAGGAAATTTGATTTAAAAAAGTGAGTCAGGGGTGGTGGGAGGGACAGGTCGGTTTAAACAGGTGTGTCTTGAGTTTGGACTTGAAGAGGGGGAGGGGGTCTATGTTGTGGATGTGTGATGGTAAAGAGTTCCAGAGTCGGGGGGCAGAGCGACTGAAAGCTCTGCCCCCCATGGTGCTGAGGTGAACAGGGGGCACAGTGAGGTGGAGAGAGGAAGAGGAACGGAGGCGGCGTGATGGAGTGGCGATGTGGAGGAGGTCAGACAGGTAAGGAGGGGCGAGGTTGTGGATGGCTTTAAAGGTGTACAGGAGGATTTTGGACTGGATGTGGCTGATGGCTGATGTGGGATTTAAAAGAGAGAGAACTGTCAAGGTGATGAATGACGGCAGAAAAGTGTTCTGATCCAGTCTGTTATTTTAGTTTTAATTAATATCAAACACAGAAACTCAGCGGTTCTGTTCTGTTCTCTCTCCTTTAAACTCAATGTTCACATGGAAGTCTGACTTCTGTTTATTAATTTAATTTATTTCTGTGTTCATTTGTTTCCCTTTTTTTAACACGGCTAAAGTCAGGCCTCATGTCTTCACTCACAGGTACACACTTCATTCATTCATCAGTAGTATTGGATCGGTATCAGATATCGGCAGATACGCTCAGGTAAAAATGGATCTTTGTAGTTCTGGTTCCTCATGTGTTCATATCCTGACAGTCGCTGAGGCTCAGGTTTGTTGTTTGTATTTAGATTCCTAAAACAACCACAGAAGAAGAACTTTATATTCAATAACCGTTAATTATAATGATCACATATTAGCCGTCTGTCAAAGTCTCGTTATCAGGGACTGAATCAGTTAAACGACAGAGAGATCGTTAGTTTGGTTTAAAGTTAATTCTGTCATGAATGTGACAAAAAAAGAAAAAAGGAGCAGAAACAGAATTTAAAGGATGAACTTCATGGATTATTGAAGGAGAATCTAACAGCAGAACTGTAATACCAGAGCTGAGCGTTAGGGGGCAGCAGCTTCTGTCTGCGAGGAGGTTCAGAAGAAGAAGAAGAAGAGCCGCTCACATAGACATCATATACGTAGACGCCTCACTACGTGCTGGTGCGTTGCCGCCATGTTGGATGGGTCTTCCCAGGTTCCCTAAAGAGCCAAACGGAGTTAAAGCAGAACGAACATCTACGTCTGTTTTTATTTTCTCTCTATGGTTGAAAAACTGACGCAGGATTGAAACGAGATTATGATTAAATTTCACAAATAAAACTGAAAAATAAGTTCAATGATTGTTTAATACGATTATTAATATAATCTGACGTTCTACAGGAGGACACATCCAAGATGGCGGCCGCGCTGACACGTGAGCTCCACAGGCAACGTCAGTCTGTGAGGCATCTACGTGTTTTAGGTCTATGTCTGCTGGTTAAAACACGGAAGTAGGAAAAGAGACGCTGAACCTGTCACCCCTCCAGTCAGACCAGACCCGTCAGCACTCCGAGGAAAACCCAGAACCGGACCAGAACACAAACCCGGACCAGAACAGAAACCCGGACCCAGAACTGAAACCCAGACCAGAACAGAAACCCAGAACCGGACCGGATCTCCTGTCAAACTCCGAACCATGAAGTCCGCTCTGCTGCTGCTGCTGGTCTTGGTTCTGGTCCTCAGTCCGGTCTCAGGTGAGTCAGAAAAAAACAGAATTTACCGGAGAGATTCAGTCGATTAACCGACCAACAGATTAACCGACTAAAGTACGAGGGTCAAACTGTGGGAGTAAAAAAACAAAGACCTGATAATAAAACTACAGAGAGGAGCTTTAAAGTCTTTAATTAAAAAAGTTTTTAATAAAGTTTAAAATCATTAAAAAGATCTTTGATATAATTATTAAAATCAGAGGAAAAACTTATTTTTTCATGATCATTAAAATGTCAGTTTGATAAAAACTCAAATCAGTTTATTTTTGTAAATAAACTTGTTAAATGTTCAGACTGATTCTGGTGAAATCTCATTTATTCAGACAGAAAATAATTGAACAGAAAGTTTTTTTAATGAGTTTAAAAAAGATCTTTTTCTTAAATTCACTGAAACAGAAACAACCTGAGAGTAAAACAGGAAACGGAGCGAGAGTTTGAGGACGGAGAGACGGATCTGTGAACAAAGAGCTGTTTAAGATCCTGATGAAGAGAGTTTACACAGACCAGTGTGGAACAGAACAAACAGTCTAAATACAGTTTTAAAGACGCTGAAAAGGTTTGTTTGTCTTCAGAGGAAAGTTCATATCATAAAAAGTAAAGATCAATAATCACCTGTTGGTGTCTGTAATGATAAAGATCAATAATCACTTCTGATCACGTCAGTCTGAACTAAAACTGTTCAAACTTGCTGACTGTAGCTTTAAGGGCCTGTTTTAGAGTCTCCAGGTGTTCCTAATGTTTTGGCCTGTTAGTATTAAAGTGAATGTAAACGACAGGTGAGGCTGAACGATCACCAATAGAGTATTGATGAGTCTGTTTTTAGTATTGATGAGGATGGACGACGGCGTGGAAAAGGTCGTTATGACCTCGCCATGCTCTTCAGGATCATGTTTTCTGTGACCCCCCCCACATCCTCACCATCCCTGTACTCTACCGCTCTCTGAAATACTTACTGTCTTACTCTCTACAGTGAAACTGAGACCCCAGAACCAGGAAGGATTTCTCATCGACACCAACTGATACACAGTCAGGAGTTCACAGATGGGCTTTTATTTTGAAATGTGCGGTCTTCCTGTTTGACTTCCTGTCTAGAACGACCTTCTCTGTGTGAATTGACCATAGACTGTATATAGAATGGACGCCTCCACTCTGAGAACAGCGCCCTCTGGTGACGGGCTGCAGTATAGGTCCTAAACCCCGCCTCCTTATGGAGCTGTGGACAAACTTTCTAAATGAATGACACAGAATATAAATGTTTCTCCCCCCTGGTTGTGATGTTGACATGTAGTTACTGTCAGACTGGTTTGTGCTCAAGTCCTCTTTTTTCTGTACAGCTCCATTTTTAAAAGTTATTAGGGGGTTCATGTTTTCGATGATTGACACCTGATACAGCCAATGGGAGGACAGGGATTGAGTAGATCACCGGGGGATACGCTGTTTGAGCCGAGCGCCATCACAGCGACACTCTGCGACTGCGCGGCCGAATGCGAACAACGCTACTGCGCAGCGCTGGTTTCAGGAACTTTTCGGCTTCAAATCCGTAAACAGGCGGGAGGCGGAGCCAAGTTAGGGTTAGTTTATACAGTCTGTGGGATTGACTCGTGGTGGAAGCGTAGAGCAGCAAAAATCGACTTGGCGCTGCGTATCTTTAGCAGAGCTGCAGCTGATAATCGTCCTTCAACGCTTTGATTGATTAGATTGGAAACTTATTTGATTGATTATTTGCCGCCGTTATGCTCCAAATATGCCGATCCTGGAGGTTTTAACCTTTAGAGTGACCACGGACCAACACCCACCTAAACCTCTGATGACTCACCTCTGGACCAGGGGAGACTTGGAGACACCCCCCACACACACACACGCACACACACGCTCAGACTAATGTCCCCGTGTCGTCTCTGTTTGTCCCCTCCTGTTACCTGCTGATGACCTTTACCTGTCCACCATTTTCCTTTTCAGGACTTCCTGTAGAACCAGCGGCGCTCCAGCAAGACCAGCCAGGTCCTGGACCCAACCCTGACCCGGGTCAACAAAAACCTGTCCACGGTCCCCCAGCAGGATCCAGGACAGCTGAAAATGGGGGGGCAAACTCACCTCAATCGACGGGACAGAAAGACACGACAGAGACAAAGACGAGGACAGACAGCGCGGAGTCTGGGACAGCGGACACCGAGAGCCGACAAACCCCAAAGACGGTGACTGTAGCTAAGAAAGGGGCGGGGACAACAGAGGACGCCAAAAAGAAGGAAGAGACAACAGCAGAGGACATCAAGAAGGAGACAACAGAGGACATTAAGAAGAAGAAGGAGGAGACATCAGAGGACACAAAGAAGGAGAAGACAACGGCAGAGGACACCAAGAAGGAGAAGACGACGGCAGAGGACACAAAGATGGAGAAGACGACAGCAAAGGACACAAAGAAGGAGGAGGAGACATCAGAGGACACAGAGAAGGAGAAGGAGACATTAGAGGACACAAAGATGGAGAAGGAGACATCAGAGGACACAAAGAAGGAGAAGGAGACAACAGAGGACACAAAGAAGGAGAAGGAGACATTAGAGGACACAAAGAAGGAGAAGGAGACAACAGAGGACACAAAGAAGGAGACATCAGAGGACACAAAGAAGGAGAAGGAGACAGCAGAGGACACAAAGAAGGAGAAGGAGACAGCAGAGGACACAAAGAAGGAGACATTAGAGGACACAAAGATGGAGAAGGAGACAGCAGAGGACGCTGAGAAGGACAGGAATGAAGAAAAAGACCTGAAGAAGAAGACGGAGGAGGAGCAGGACGAAATCAGGAGACCAGGACAGGTGCAGCCAGGTGTGAGGGAGGAGCCAGAGAGCAGTCACTTCTTCGCCTACCTGGTGACGGCGGCGGTGATGGTGGCGGCGCTCTACATCACCTACCACAACAAGAGAAAGGTACGCCTGTCCAAGACCCAGTCTGGGGTCTGACCCGTCTCAGAGTTAGTCCACGGTCTGAATCGTTTGAAGACTCTCCTCTTTCTTCTCTTCCAGATCATCGCCTTCCTCCTGGAGGGGAAAAGGTCACGATCAGCGCGGCGTCCGAAATCCTCCGACTACCAGAAACTGGAGCAGCAGGTGAGTCTCTGAGACCAAAACCAACGAGAAGAAGTTCAAACCAGTTTCAATTTGTGATTTTTCTTCTTCTGTCAAAGTGATTCAGCAGCTGAACGTCAGGAGGAGGTCTGAGGAGGTCTGAGGAGGTCTGAGGGGGACTGAGGAGGTCTGAGGAGGTCTGAGGAGGTCTGAGGAGGTCTGACGAGGTCTGAGGAGGTCTGTGGAGGTCTGTGGAGGACTGAGGAGGACTGAGGAGGTCTGAGGAGGACTGAGGAGGACTGAGGAGGTCTTAGGAGGTCTGTGGAGACCGTGGTTCTTGTTCCTGTTGGTTGAAGTTTGTCTTCCTGTTTTTAAGCAGATGATCCTGTTGCCTTATTGATCGACTTTTTGACGCCGTGACGTCGATCAGCTGTTTGCACTTCAGTCTGTCAGACTTTAAAGAGATTTAGTCATGTGACCTGAAGGTTCGGAAGGAGAGAAGAAGAAGAAAAAGAGAAAAAAATGATGTTTTATTCAGAACATCAGGAATAACAGGTGAACAGCTGTAATAACACCTGTTATTACAGCTGTTATTACTGTAATAACAGGTGTTATTACAGTAATAACAGCTGTTCACCTGTTATTACTCTTGAAAAGCCGCGTGTGTGTGTGTGTGTGTGTGTGTGTGTGTGTGTGTGTGTGTGTGTGTGTGGACTTGTTTAGGTCGTCTTGCTGTAATCTGTTTGGGTTCTGTTTGGGTTCTGGTCCGTTTGGCGGTCTTGCTCCTGGTTTCGTGTTTTTTTTTTTTTGGCGTTTTGAATGTAAACAAACTTTAACTTCCTGTTGATGCTCGCTCAGTGTGAACTTTGACCTCTCCCAGTTCATCAGAGGTTTTTTCTCCATCAGAAGGACGGGCTCGGCGAAGTTCTGGAGAAAGAGCGGGTCAGACTTATCTGAAGTGAACCGGGTCAGAGGTCAGCGCTGACCTGCTGCCGTTTAAAGGCGTTTGACCACTTCAGAGCGTTCTCGCCAAGTTCACTGATGAGCAGACGGCCGGTTTCTCATCGACTCTGACGGCGAATAAAGTCAAAGTTAATCGAGTTTAATAATCATTATTATTATTGATCATTAAATTATCAGTCTGAGGAGATTTGAATTCATCTGTCTGAGCTGTTCATCCTCATTCATCCTCTTCCCCTTCACCCAGTTTAAACCTGTGTTCACCCTCTCACTCGCCTCTTTGTTCACCCTCTCACTCACCCTCTCACCCAGGAGAGATCAGGGATGATTTTTGTGCCAAACTCTCTTCACTCTGAAGTTTTTTTTGTTGTTTCTGATTTTATTTTTGTAAATGTGTAAAAAAAAAACCCTAATATTCAGATTTATGAACGAGTGAACTTCATCCTCACAGATTCATGTTCATCCTCCTCTTCACCACAATCAGCATGAAAGCATGTTTTCAAATCTTTAACAAGGCTGCTTCTTTTTGGACCTTTATTTTGAAAGGCTATCCTTTAGGTGTGTTTGCTGATCCAGTCCAGGATTGATAATTTCAAAATAAAAGCTTTTGTATCTCAGGTGAGTGTGATGTTTTTCAGCCTTCAAAGTAAAAGACTGAAAGTTTTTCCTTTAAAAACACTCAGAGTCGGTGTTTGAATAAAAACTTTCTTCCTTTATTGAATAAAAATTAAAAACAGGATATAAAATGTTAAAGTCCAACGGACCAGAACCAGAACCTCCACATGTGTTGGACCTCTGCAGCTCCATGTCCGGGTCGGTTCAGAGGCTGAAAGAGTTTTTAGTTTTTCTTTTCTGGAAAATTTCAGCAGCAGACGAAAAAATCCCGACTGAAAAAAGGCGAAGAAAGAGAAACAGTTAAAGTGACATAATTATCAGACTGTGGACAGTCAACACGGACAGGGATTAGGATTAAATTTCAGGGATTAGGATTAAACTTCAGGGATTAAATTGAACCTTCAGGGATTAAGATGAAACTTTAGGGATTAAGATAAAATTTTAGGGATTAAGGTAAAAATTCAGGGATTAAAATTAAACTTCGGGGATTAAAATGAGATTAAACGGAGTACTGAGACAGGCTGCAGGTTTAAACTGGGATTAAATCTTAAACAGTCTGCAGATCTAAAGTTCGAAATCAGACCTTTTTATGAAGCTCAGAGTCTGGAGAACATGAGAGTGACTCTCAGATTAAAGGGACAGTCAGTGATTTTGGTCCTCATATAGAAAATCTCCATGGAAACAGTTGATCTCTGTCCATCTGTCTGTCTTTACAAACCAACAAAAATATGAGAGTAAAATATAGATGGATAATCCGTAAATAATAACTGTAGCACTTTATATAATCTCAGTCAATATGATCTCAGATTATCACCTTTAGAACCTTTAATCTCAGATTATCAGAGTGATACCATGTCCCGGGTCTCGTCCTCATAGATGTCTGTATTTAATCTCAGTATTTAACCTCAGTTTATATAATCTCAGTTTATATAATCTCAGTAAATATAGTCTCAGATTATCACCTTTAGAACCTTTAATCTCAGATTATCACAGTGGGACCATGTCCCGGGTCTCGTCCTCATAGATGTCTGTATTTAATCTCAGTATTTAACCTCAGTTTATATAATCTCAGTAAATATGATCTCAGATTATCACCTTTAGAACCTTTAATCTCAGATTATCACAGTGGGACCATGTCCCGGGTCTCGTCCTCGTAGATGTCCGGTATTTCTCCCAGGGGGGAGCTCATCATCCGGACCGAGTTGGACCCCCTCAGTTCGGCCTCGTACCGGATCAGCTGTCTCCAGAACCCGGGATTAGGTCTGACGGTGGGTCTGCAAGTCTTAATCCAGGTGTGGGCCTCCAGCAGGGTCAGGTCCCGGTACTTCATCAGGTAGGCGGCGCAGAGGGTCGCGGATCGGCTCCTCCCGGCCTCACAGTGCAGCAGAGTCCGACCCCCGCGTTCCGCAGTCCTCTGGACCAGGTCCGACACCGGGTCAAAGTGGATCCAGATCGGGGAGAGAGGGGAGTCCGGGACCGGGAGGTGGAGGTAGTCCTCCACACCTGCGGGCGGAGCACACCTGGACCTGGACTCGCTCACGTTCACGATACAGGTGATCCTACAGAGACTCACCTGAGAGGAGTCCAGGGCGGACCTGCGGCTGCTCAGGTACAGGTGATCCGTGACCCGGCACAGACCCGACAGACCCGAACCTCCGGAACCCCCAGAGCTCCGCATGAGAGATTAGAGAGGATCAGAGTCACAGCAGAGAAGAAGAAGACTGACTGTTTCCCTCTTCTTCCGCTTCTTCTTCTTCCTCTCCTCCTTCTCCTTCCTTGTTCTTCTCGGTGGATTACCGCCCCCCTCTGGACTGGATGTGGACCAACAGACAAGACGGTAAATAAATCCACTTTTATTCTTTTCTTAAACTCAGTTTTTCTCTCAGGAACTAAATAATCTCGGAGTTGGTTTGACCTCCTGGTTTAATCTAATCTAATCTAACTTTATTTCTAAATCACTTGTGAAGTTATTTATATGTTAAAAAAGGACATTTCTACAGGATGGAACAGTTAATTAAAAAATATTCAACTGAATAAAAACAAGTTTTTCTAGAATAGTTTTCTCTAAAACAGTAAATGTGACTCTGGTCTGTAGTTATGAGGAACATTAGGGTCTTCCTCAGCGGTGGTCTCATTACTGCTGTTTTAAAGAGAATAATTCACTTTATTTCAAAAATAAAACATTTAAAAAAGTGACGTGAGAATCGGGTCTAAAACTACCAAACGTCTCAGCATGAACCAGAACAAACCTGTCCAGAGTTCCTCAGGTAAAAACCAGTTTCTACTTTATTAGAGCTAACGACAGACCTGCTGACGGGTCAACAACAGAGGACAGACCTGCTGACGGGTTAGAGCTGAGGACCTGATCTAAAGAGTGTCCTCTGTTGTGACGTGTTGTCTGAAATCCAAACAAGTCAGTAAATTTAAAAACTCTTTTTTCAGTGTCATTGATTATTGATAAACTGAATAAAACAGAATTATGTAAACAGAAACCGAGAGAACTGAGGGACTGTTAAAAACAACAGCATGATACTCAAAGGGGATTTACTGATCAATAATACTTCTTTGGTCTTTAGTGAGTTATATTAGTTTTGTGTGAAGGGGTGAATGTGGTGTGAAGGGGTGAATGTGACATGTTTCGGCTCTTTGGGTGGTCTGGAGTCTAGAGATAAAGCGATATCCACATAGATGCCTTCTCATGTCTCTGCCTGTATCTACAGGATCCTGGCTGCAGTTCTCCAGTAGGGGGCAGCAGATCCTCAGGTTTGAGGGTCTGTAGTTCTCAGTCTCTGCCCTTCCTCCAGTTTTCTTGTGGTCCTTCAGAGTTTGTATTTGCTCTGATTTCACATAAATAACTATATAACTGTAAATTTGACCACCTGAATATTTACATTTCTGCTCAGAATTAAACCAAAAAAAACTGAAGGTGATTTTGGACCAAACACTTGTCTGTTGGTTATGCTGATGGTTACTGTTTGTGAACACTTTATACAAAAACATTATATACATATATATATATATATATATATATATATATATATATATATATATATATATATATATATATGTATAATATATGTAACAGCTACAGCTAACAGCTACACTGTGCCCACCTGTCAGTCAAGTCAGCTGTTCCTCTGATTCGCTGATCTTATAAACGTAATACATGAGCCGTTGAATGAGTGTGTATGTGTTTCAGACAGCCTCTAGTGGACACTCTGAGAACTGCAGTTTGATCATTTCTGCTTCACTCTTTTTTCCTGATGTCTCCATACTGAGTCCACCTGAATTCACTTGGATTTAAATGAACAAGTGATAAAATTCAAGTGTTCATTCATACAAGCGAACATGTTTTCCAAACATTCATTCATTCATCGTTCAGACAGATTTCATGTGATCAGAAAACAAACTGCTGCTGTGTGTAAAACTGTCAAACCAGATCATGAATTTAGTAAAGACCTCCTGATGTTCCTCCATGTTCCTCAGGGCTGGTGGACTCTTCATTTTGGGGGGTCAGTAAATAAACGTTGAGTCAGGAAATTAGAACTAAGAGGGATCTGTGTTCAAACCTGACGGCAGACTAACAGACCCGTTTGGGTCGGAAACGGTTCTGATGTTGGAAGAACAATAAGGAGCCAAAATCGTCTCCGACTAATAAAATAAACAGAAATCATCTCCGACCAAAGTCACATATTTCCGAGTATTTCTGTAAAACTGAGTCGATCCGCAGAAAAACTTTGATCATTTTCTTCTTCTTCAGCAGGTTCTTTCTGTTTCTCCTCCTAAACCCTGCTTCTTCTTCTTCTTCTTCTTCTTCTTCTTCTTCTTCTTCTTCTTCTTCTTCTTCATCCTCCTCCATGAAACTGTGATCTGCTTCCTCTGGATCCTGTTTCCGTGGTAATATCCGACCCCCCCCCCCCCCCCCCCCAGCACTCAGACAGGTGGTCGGTGGGTGAGGACTGTTGGGTGAGAGTGATGGACGGTCATTAAAAGTTGGATAATAACCTCTTCACTCTGACATTTCAGCGGGAGGTCCTGGACGCCGCCATCTCCATATAGATTAAACGGCGTAATTGGCGAAGAGACGGGGTTAGGAGGCCGCAGGAAGGAGAGGAGGAAAAAAAGGCCGGGCCATCGCCAAACCATTAAGCTGAATATCTGAGTGACACTCTGATTTCGCCGCTCACGCTAATGCGACAGGAAGTGAGCTGAACTAAACGCCAAATGAATGAAGCCTATCTCGCCGTGGTTATTACCGGGGCAAACACCGGCCGCAGAAAATCGCTTTAATTTCATAATAATTACCGGGCGGACGACGTGACTCGTTAGAGATACAATATGAGAGTGTGTGTGTGGTGTGTGTGTGTGCGCGTGTGTGTGTGTGTGTGTGTGGGGGGGGGGGGGGGGGGGGGGGTAGAGAGGGGGAGAGAGAGGGGGAGTAAGGAGGATGGACATGACTCATTAGAGGTACAAGCCTGATGACTTAGTGAAGGATGAATGAGTGAGGATGAATATGTTAGGATGAGTTAGGATGAATGAGTTACTGATGAATGAGTTAGGATGAATCAGTTAGGATTGATAAGTTAGGATGAATGAGTTAGGATGAATGAGTTACTGATGAATGAGTTAGGATGAATATGTTAGGATGAATAAGTTAGGATGAATGAGTTACTGATGAATGAGTTAGGATGAATATGTTAGGATGAATACGTTAGGATGAATATGTTGGGATGAATATGTTAGGATGAATGAGTTACTGATGAATGAGTTAGGATGAATATGTTAGGATGAATAAGTTAGGATGAATGAGTTACTGATGA